GGGTAATCCACTTCACATTCAACCACAACTATAAAGAACAGGCAGTTATTTTTTGTTTTTGTTTTTGTTTTTTCTAGACAAGGTTTCTCTGTGTTGCAGCTCTGGCTGCCCTGGAACTTGCTCTGTAGATCAGACTGGCCTCCAACTCAGAGATCCGCCTGCCTCTGCCCCCTGATCACTGAGATTAAAGGTGTGCGCCACCACTACCGGACGAATAGGTACTGTTACTGTGCTCATTTGGCAGATGAGAAAAGGGATACAGAAAACTGAAGGGATATGCCTTGGTTGCCCAGATAAGGCAATATAAGATCTGGGGTGCAAATCCAAGTCCAATGCCCTTCTCCCTATCCTGCAGCTTCCAAAGGTACCCAAATGAGCCTAACCACCTTAGCTGCTTGCACTCACAGCATACAAGACATACTTTGTGCAGGCCCTTGGAAGTTCGGTATGCTCATGCACACAGGGACCTGCATGTTTGCAATGTGATTGTAAAATACACTGATTTTTTTTTTCTTTATGAAATTACTGCTAAATCAGCTCAACCTGGTGAGGGGTAGAGGATGGCAGGGCACAGCCTTGTACTTCTCAAAAGGGATACAGAAAGCGGGGTGGGGCTGCACACACCTTTAATCCCAGCACTTGGGCGGTAGAGGCTGGCAGATCTCTGTGAGTTCGAGGCCACCCTGGTTTACAGAGCAAGTTCCAGAACAGCCAGAGCTGTTACAAAGAGAAAACCTGAATTTATTTTCTCATGCTCCTAACTGTAGAACATATAACTTTACAGTGGCGTTGGAACTTGTACTCTCCTTTTCAGTCTAACTGGCTTCTTGCTGTCTGTCTTGGTCTTTGAAACTTCAATTGTCTTATCTGAGTATTTGTTTATTTTTATGCCAATATCTCCAAATTTTCAACCCACCCCACACACATACGAGTGGATTCCTGATGTTCCAATACCCTCCCCCACCACTCTCCCTACAGAAATTCTCCAAGTCAATGTTCCACTTTCTCTTCCTTCCAGATCCCTCCCAGTCTCC